CTAACGTAATTGACTAGCTGTTTAGTTACATAATTCAGTCTTTTAATATTATCGTACTCCTTAAAAGTAACAAATGAATGATGTTGTTCTAATTCATCTGTAAAAAGACAACCGTAGCTAATATCGCAGTTAAAATGCTTTTTTAAATTTTTGACCAGAAATCCACAAACATAAGAAGTTGCTTGATTGTCAAAATTACTTTCTTCTATTTCCTGTACCGCCCCAGGAAATGGAGTAGCAATAAAATCATTAGGGCTTAATAAACTTGGCGATTTTTCTTCTAAAAAGTTTCGCAAATTTTCTAAAAGTGACATATTATCATCTTCACAATTTTTTGAAATGCTTCTGCTTGATACTAAATTATTTAATAAACTAGTGTTTAAACTACACATAAATTGAAAGCAATTTGGATAAACATTTCCTACACCTTGTTGTCGAATAACGCAAAATATATTTTCAAGTGAGTCCTGATTGATAGCACGTGTTCTTAAAAAGGTAAATCCTGCTTTATGACAATCAAGCCACAACTCTCTAATCGATTTACTATTATTGAACCACCCCTTTTTAAATGGAAAAACACTAATAAATTTACTGTTGTCATTTTTTTTTGCAAAATTTCCAAGATGTAATTTTATGTTCCATTTCATTCCAAAATTGCATGTTTGCTTTTTGCTGTTATTGCACATCTTAGAGGAAGCCCGTTTTGACGATATAATGTATCTGCATTAAAACTGTCAAATAAATTGTTTATATCTGCCACAAATTCTGCGGTATACATGGTCTCACTTTTTAAAAAACTTGTATCTGAGTAAAGAGATTCTAAAGTGGCGGCAACTGTATGACTGAGGGTTTTTGCTGCAATTGATACTTTCATTTTGATAAGTGGACTACTTTCCAAATCGTACAAATAATTACGGTGAATTTTTCTCATGGCTTGAAATCGCCTTTTCTGGTCTATTTCAAAAGCTTCTTGAATATGGTTAAATTTTGCAGTTTTATTTTCTGAATATAAAATATCATACGAATTTATACAAAGCATTTCGTGTTGATTTTAATAAATGTGGAGAATCATAAAATATATAAATTTTGTTTCCATTTTCGATAAAAAAAAAATTATTTTCAGTTTTTTGTCGCAATGCAGATACATTGGTAGGTCCCTGGTGGCACACTGTACACTTGACATGAAGGCCTATGTTTGCTAGATCTCGTATTACTTCACTTATTAGCGTTTGTAAATCTGCAGCACTTATGGTATTTTTTGTAAAGTAATACGAAATTGGTTGTTTCCATTTTTGCGTTACACCCTGAGCCATAAAAAGTAAAGCGTGATCTGCTAAATCGTTTGTTCGACCCAATGATCCCTTATCAACGCACCCCACAAATTTTTTTGTTGACCTATCATACTAACGTGCCTGCGGGAAGTCGCAAAACCAAAGCACTCTTCCAGGTCGGGGGACGACGGCGAACGTCCCAATGAACCCTCCGAGGGTCTTCCCTCTCTTCTTTCGTCCTTTGCAGGGTGGTCCCCACCAGTCGATCCTTTGCGACCTGCCTCAGACTTAACCTGATCAGTCATATTTTGATTAAGAATTTGTTCAGAAAAATTGGCGAGGGGGAGTCCTGAGCCCCAGCTCTTTTTCTATTTTTTCCTCAGTCCGTAAGTTGGGTATATAAAAAATAAATTGGCCGGGGAAACTTCTTAGGTCTGGGCCTTTTTACTTTTCTTCAGGTAAATCTTAGGGTGCTGAAAGTAGGTTTAAGTTAGCAAAATGGTGATTCCGTTAGCCACCAGCCGTAGATTAACTTATTTCGACTCTTGGATGTGATCCAAGGAAGAGGGGTGTACTTGGTTACCTCAGAGCCTTGTACCCACTGGGCGACTATTTCATCATAGGCAACCAAGCGGGATTAATTGGAAAGGGTGAGGACACAGATTACTAAGATACATTAATAGGAACAAAAAGAATTATATCTTAGAAAGTACGGGTACGGGGAAAATTATTATTATTTTTGTTAAATTAATGGCCAACGGGCCTAACAATTAGTTAAAAGTTAAAAGTTAATGGTTAAATCCAGGGATGCCAGGGGTTTTACTTAGAAAGCCCCAAAGAAATTTAATTAGTATTAATTTTAGTTTTAGTTAATTACAAAGACTGCTTGACTTAGGAACTAGGGTTTTTAGGAGGACCGAATTTCTATTCCACTTAAGATTGGGAACCTAGGTCCTTAAGTGGCAATGGGACAGGGCGAAAATGGGAATACACAAAAATCAGAGCAAATCTCACTACCCGAACAATCCCAACGAAATATAGTTCCCTACTTACCGTTGTTAAGGTGATAACACTAATTCAACACAGCAAAATTAATTATTGTCTAACCGTTCACCAGTTAAAGAAATGTTGTTAGTTTTGTTTTTTACACAATGTGGTTTAACACTTCACAAATTAAAAGTTT